CCTCAAGTTTGGCTTCCCGGAGGAACTCGCCAGCGGCTCCTGGGTCTGCAGTGGGGCCAGGCTGCTCGCGCCCGCGCCTTTCTCTGAGATCCCCAGCCCCAGACCTCAGAGGCGGCTGGGCAGGTAGGGCGCCACCCAGTAGTCGTGCTAAGTGGAAGCGGCTGCGTCCTGAGGCGCCTGGGCCGAGTGTGCACGCCCAGTTGGTCCACGCCCCGGTGGCTTCGGCCAGAACCCCGTGGCCCTGTGAGTTCCAAAGCACAGCGGGAAACGCGTGGTCTGGAGCGGAGGGAGAACAATGGGAAGACGCACTTGTCTGGCTAATGAAGCGAATTTTCATTACTCTGAACGAAAGAGAAAAGTAGATAATAAACGTGAGGGTGGGAGACCATTAAAACAAGGAAAAGAGGGGGTTTTCCACGGAGAACCACAGATAGAGAAACCCCAGGCGACTCGCCCGAGGAGCGCAGCGTTAACCCCAGATGTTGCCTTACAAAAGGGAAACAAAATGCGAAACCTGTTACCTCTGCAGACTGAGCTGCAACGCAGGGCCCTGACGTAAGGCCCGGAGAGTGAGTCGGAAGTTAAAACTACTCCTGGGGGCTGCGGCGACCTTGTCTCTGGGCCGAAGGATGGACACACGGGTGCGCGTCCGGCTTCCAAGAGGATCTGAGGAGACAGGGAGACCACTTTTTACTTTCGTTTAAAAAACAAAATCAAACTGTTTATTAATTTAAAACAACAACAAAAATAATCCCGCCACCATGGAAAAGCAATCTGGATGCTGCAAAGCGAGGAAAGGAAAGAGCAAGAGGGGAGAGGGCTGGGTTCGGGAGGGGCGGAGCGGGGAGAGGCGCAAAGGAGAGGGAAAGGCGCCGCCGGCTCGGACGGGAGGCGCAATCTCATTTCTTCTTCCCAGGCTCCACTTTAAAAACAAAAATCCTATGAACCACACTTACCTTTGTGAGTGAGGCCTTATCGTATCAGAACATTTTAAACAATTTGCGCTTTAAAGGCTGCAGCAGAAAAAATCAAAACAGGCTCCTGACTACCCCAAATGCGTCGGCTTGGGGACGCGGAAACAGCCGGAAGGAAGCTGGAAAAGAGTCTTGGCACCTTCTCCGCGCGCGTTGCAACCCCGCCCCGGTCGCGGTAATTGAAATGTCACCTGCCCCCATTTCGCCCCGGGCCGCCAGGGCCACTTGGGAAAGTGGGTCTTGCCTCGCGCCCGGGCCAGGGAGAGCGGCGCGGCAGAGCCCGCACCCCAGAAGCTGAGGGGTTACACAGGGCTACGTAGAGGCGCCACCGGACACGGTAATTAGGCGCAATTCACACGCTCTCCAGCGCGCGGAAACTACTTGTCACGATATGTTCAACGCTCCTTCTGGCCCACTTTTTTCCACTCCTCCCTGGCGCGCCCCCTCCCTCCCGGAGGCACTCGGTGAAGCCTTTGGAGTTTCGAATCTTTCGGACACTGTAGAACGCGGGGCTCCCCGGGCGCGGGGCCGGCCAATCAGAGTGCCGTCTGCCTCCCCTGACCAATGGCAGGCGCCACATTGTTGTCCAATTCTGTCTAATGGAGCCCTAAGGAGCAACAATAGAGCGGGCGAGCGGCTCAGTGAGAATCTGGCAGCGCCGGGCAACTGCGGCCCGGCTGTGCGCAGC